AATCAATCTATAAGCAGTGATCACTTTACCTTCTCCTTTCCAATAATTATACCTGTCATTTCTAGTTTATATTTCTAATTTGATTTCATTAGCTAACTCTAGAAAAACAAACAGATACCTTTCATGTAACTCAGAATTTAATGTGAATATTTCTAGTATTTGACCATTAAGCATGATGCTAGCATTTTAATGCAAATGTGTATTGTTATACCAAAGAAGAAATAATCAGATTTCTTCTTAAAAATGAATATTTAAGTGTCTGTTTGACAAAAAGTACTTATTAAGAATGAAAGACAAATTTTATCAAGTATCTTTTGAGGCATTTACTATTTTTTCTCATTCTAATCTATTAATATGTAGAATTGTTTTAATAAATTTACTAATGTTGGCCTAAATGAGCACTTATGATAGGCGCTCACTTGATCACAATGCTTTATTCAAATGGAATACGATTATTATCTATACACTTTCATTTTATTTTGACTTTGTATCTATTTTATATGTATTTATTTAATGTCAACTTCATTTGAAAACTGACTTTTCCTTTCTTCTCTACAAATGAAATAAATGAAGTAGTAATCATAATTCCTTAAAAGTTTAAAATAATTCTAAATTTGTTAAAATGCTATTTTTATTATAATTCAGTTTAAAATATTTTACAATTTCATTTATTTCCTCTTTGACTCATGTGTTATTTAGAATTGTGTTGATTAATTTCCAAATGCTTGAGGATTTTCTAGATATCCTTTTGTTATTGGTTTATAATGTAATTCCTTCATGGTCAGGGAATAATGCCCTATGTGATTTCAATCCTGTGTTATTGAGATTTGATTTATTGCCTAGCATATATAGTCTAACCTTGGTGAACATTCCCTTTGCATTTGAAAAGGTATATATTCTATACTTATTGGGTACAGTAATCTATAAATGTCCCTTAGGCCAAGTTGATTGTTCATGGTGTTCAAGTCTTCTGCACACCCATGAATTTTCTGTTTGTTCTATCAGTAAGACTGTTGAAATCTTCAACTATTTCTGTATTTTTTTCCTAATTATCCTTTCAATTACATCAGTTTTTCTTTGTATGTTTTGAAACTTCATTAAGTGCATTCACATTAAGTATGGTTTTGTCTTTGAGGTGAATGACACTTTTATCATTATTAAATGTCTCTCTTTGTTTCTGGTAATACTTTATATATTCATATATTCTACTTTTCCTATGACTAGTGTTTTTGTGGGTTTTTTTCATCCTTTTACTTTCACACAACTGTTTTTATATTTTAAAATGAATTCCTTGTAGACAAAACATTGTTATGTCCTTTTTGTCCAATCTGATAATCACTGCCTTTTAATTAGAATGTTTAGTCCATTTATTTTTCATGTAATTATGGATACAATTTAAGTCTACCATCTTACTTGCTTTCTAATATTCCTATCTACTGTTTGTTCTTTTCATATCCCTTTCTTGCATTCTGCTTATTTTAAAATTATTTCATTTTTAGTTTTATTCTTAACTATAACCTTATTTTATATTTTAATGGTTATTCTAGGGGTTACATTATGCATCCTTGACTGATCATGATCGTCTCTCAATGCTTACCTTCTCTGAGGTATCAACTTAGTGCCAGGGGTTTTCAATTAAGATTCTTTATTCTGGCAGGCTGAAATTCCAAAATCTTGTAACCTTCTGTAAGCCCCCTGGCAGTTGCTGTTTTCGGGCCTGGCCGTCCTATCCTGTGTATATACAGCTTAATATTCAGCCATGGCTCAGAAGGATTCTTGGAGTCCCTATCTGAAGCTTCTTTCATTCTGCTATTTGCTTCCATAATTCCAACCATCAATTACGGATTTCCATCTCATTAGTTCAGCACGGGTCTCATGCTCTCCTTAGACTCCCATCCCATGGACCACAGTCCTGAGAGTGCCTCCAGGCATAAAGCTAGTGTGATTATAGGGCTCACCTTGTTTGTTTCCTTGCCAAATGGCATTATTTTATGGGTTGGCTGTTCGTTGTTCAATATCTGAAAATAGTTGTTTCACGTATTTTGTTTTATATTTGCTTTCTGCAAGAGGGCTAGTCCTATAACAGTTATTTTATCAGGACTTCTTATCAAGAAAGAGTAAAGAAGTAACTTTAGAGCATCCTCAGTTAGGTGCTACTACATTTTCTCATTTTTATTTTTTCTTATATTAGTAATATAGGGCTTTTTAAAGTATCAACACATTCGAAAATAAAAGTAACCTGCTCATAATCCCAGTAACCCAGGGTCAACCACTCTTGACATTTTGGAAATTTTTTTCTTTTAGTCTTTTCCGTGCATTTTCAAAACATATATTAGCATTGGCCTCTAAGACAACAGCAAAACCACTTTTGGTTAAGTACCAATGGGAGGTGATTCTCATTATTATTGATAATGATATTAATAATAATTATCTGTAGGATCCAAAGGAAATAATAGTGATCATATAGACCTAGACAACCAGAGAAGGGGAAAAAGAAAATGATAGGCCTCAACTATTCTGGAGGCTGAGGTGGGAGGTTGGCTTGAGCCCAGGAATTTGTAGCTGTTGTGAGCTACAATAATACTGCTGCATTCCAGTCTGGGTGACAGAGCAAGACCCTGCCTCAAATACTACTACTACTACTACTAATAACAATTGCAGGAGAAGAAATGGTTCTTTGAATAGGCTGTTTCACTAATTTTGGTAACTCCAATTATAGCTAGATAAATAGATACTGTGCCCTTATATTGTACCCCCTTTCACTGTTGCAGTTACATATATTTGAAAACATCTGTAAGTAAATTTTTAAGACTGAATTTTGAGTATGGGGCAAGTTTTTCCCTGCCTCATTCTATTGAGAACTGGGTCAAAACACATGAATATTTAAATATTTTACTGTAATTGGCAACATTTTTTTTCCCAGAAAGATTAATACAAATTCTCCTAACCACTTGCTTTTGCAAATGTGTCCTGTTTTTTCACCTGCATTATACAGCTAATTGTTAATTGTACAATTTGGGGACAGTAACTTAATCTTTCCTTGCCTCAGTTTCTTTATCTGCAAGACAAACTTAATAGTATTTTAATTCACCTCATAATGTTATTAGGAAGATGTAATCATATGAAGCCCTAAAATTAATGATGTTATGTGTTAAATGCTTAATGAATATATTAGTTATTTTTGTTATGATTTTTGGTGTTAAAATCTTAGATAATTACCCAAGTGAAAATTTATCTTTCATTGTTTTAATTATACTTATTGAGTTATAATAATATTGAATATTTTTCTTATATTTAGTAACTATTTGCATTTCTTCTTTGTAAATAGTCTTCTCATACTCTTGGCTCATTATTTCTTGGACTTCACAATTTTCATAGAGCTTTATACAAACTCAATGTAATAAGGTCATTTAACTTGACTTCTTCTCCTATTTGGAGGCCTTTTATTTCTTTCTCTTCTGGTACTATGTTGAATACGAGTGGTGAGACTGGGCATCCTTGTCTTGTTACAGTTCTCAATCAGAATAGTTCCAGCTTTTGTCTGTTCAGTAAGATGTTGGCTGTGGGTTTGTTACAGGTATACCATCTTTCACCAGTCAGAATGGCTTTTGCCAAAAAGTAAGAAATAACGGATGATGGCAAGGCTGCAGAAAAGAGGGAACACGAATACCCAGTTAGTAGGAATATAAATTAGTCCAGCCGCTGTAGAGAACAGTTTGGAGACTTCTCAAGGACCTAAGAATAGAAGTAACATTCGACCCAACAATCCCATTACTATATATACACCCAAAGGAAAATAAATCATTCCACTAAAAAGACACAGACAATTATATGTTTATCACAGCACTAATTGCAATAAAAAGACATGGAATCAACCCAGATGCCCATCAATGGTGGATTAAATAAAGAAAATGTGGAACATATATGTAACAGAATACTATGTAGCCATGAAAAAGAATGAAATCATGTTCTTCACAGCAACATGGATGCAGCTCAAAACAATTAATCCTAATTGAACTAATGCAGAAACAGAAAACCAAATACCACATGTTCTAACTGGTAAGTGGGAACTAAACTTTGGGTACACATTGCCATCAACATGGAAACAACAGACACTGGGGACAACTGGGGGTGGAGAGTGAGGTGGGGAAATGGCTGAAAGACTACTTCTTGGATGCTATGCTCACTACCTGGGTGGCAGATTCATTTGTATTCCAAACTTTGTAACCAACCTGCACATATACCCTAATTCTAAAATAAATGTTGAAGAAAAATAAAATTATTTAACTTTTATTCTGACATCTCCTTCCAACATTTTCCTGTTTGTGGCTTATCTTATGATATTATTATCTCACATGAGTCTTTAAATTTATGTAGTAAATTCTATACATGTTTTTCTTCATGGTTTCTTAGAAAGTATTTGTGCTTTTCAAGTCTAGTCCTATCCAAATATCACAACAGTTTTAACTTATTTTTTCTTTTTGTATTGTTTTAATTTTAATATTGTATTTCTTAATCCAAATAGTATGGCCTTTAGTGTAGGATAGCTAAGGCTTTACTTTTAAATGCAACAAAATCTGTTGCTTCCGAAGAGGTCAAACTAAGTTTGATTCCTGAAAACTGCTTCACATTTTTCAAGTATGTGTTAAAATTAAATGCGTGGTATTTTGAATAGTTAGTGGTAGAATTTTCTGAATAAGGATAGTCTTAACACTATATACAGTCATTTCCTAGGAGTATATTTAGGCCAGTTAGTAAAATCCACATGAACTCTAACATCCTTACATCAGAACTAGTCGAGAGGGCTTTAACAATATCATACTCTACTAAAAAGCAGCACAGTAGAGGGAGGATTTGGAAAATAACAAGTTGGTTTAAATTGCAATCATCTAATAATAATAAATATATCCATTTATTGTTAATTAGAACAAGCTGGATAGCAAAGAGATAGAAATACTCAACTAGTTGTCAGTTTTTAACATGAGCCTCTTCTACAAGACTTGATGTCATAGACCCAACAAAAATGTGTTCTTTCTTCTTGTGCCAAACAGGTAAACAGTCAAAAATATCAATGGGAGAAGAAAACCAAACCTTTGTGTACAAGTTTATCTTCCTGGGCCTTTCACAGGACTTGCAGACCCAGATCCTCCTATTTATCCTTTTCCTCATCATTTATCTGCTGACCCTGCTTGGAAACCTGCTCATCATCATTCTTGTCTTCATGGATTCTCGCCTTCACACACCCATGTATTTTTTTCTTAGAAATCTTTCCTTTGCAGATCTCTGTTTCTCTACTAGCATTGTCCCTCAGGTGTTGGTTCACCTCCTGGTAAAGAGGAAAACCATTTCTTTTTATGGGTGTATGACACAGATAATTGTCTTTCTTCTGGTTGGGTGTACAGAGTGTGCACTGCTGGCCGTGATGTCCTATGACCGGTATGTGGCTGTCTGCAAGCCCTTGCACTACTCCACCATCATGACCCAACGGGTGTGTCTCTGGTTGTCCCTTGGGTCCTGGGCCAGTGGGGCACTGGTGTCTTTAGTAGATACCGTCTTTACTTTCCATCTTCCCTACTGGGGAGAGAACACTATCAATCACTACTTTTGTGAACCTCCTGCCCTTCTGAAGCTGGCTTCTGCAGACACTTACAGCACAGAAATGGCCATTTTTTCAATGGGCGTGGGGATCCTCCTGGCCCCTGTCTCCATGATTCTTGTTTCTTATTGGAATATTATCTCCACTGTTATCCAGATGCAGTCTGGGGAAGCAAGGCTCAAGGCTTTTTCCACCTGTGGCTCCCATCTTATTGTTGTTGTCCTCTTTTATGGGTCAGGAATTTTCACCTACATGCGGCCAAACTCCAAGACTACAAAAGAATGGGATAAAATGATATCTGTGTTCTATACAGTGGTGAGTCCAATGCTGAACCCCATAATTTATAGTCTGAGGAACAAAGATGTGAAAGGGGCTCTCAGGAAACTGGCTGGGAGAAAGTCCTTCTCTCATAGGCAGTGACCTCTGAGTCTGACTTTTAGAGCTATGGTAACATCCTTTAAAAAACAGGAGGATTAGGCGAGACAGGTGGATCACAAGGTCAGGAGATCGGGACCATCCTGGCTAACACTGTGAAACCCCGCCTCTACTAAAAATGCAAAAAATTAGCCAGGCGCGGTGGCGCGTGCCTGTGGTCCCAGCTACTTGGGAGGCTGAGGCAGGAAAATCGCTTGGACACGGGAGGCGGAGGTTGTGCTGAGCAGAGATTGTACCACTGCACTCCAGCCTGGGTGACAGAGTGAGACTTCATCTCAAAATAAAAAAAAAAAGGAGCAGGATTTTAGGATTTTAGTAGGCAATTATGAATTAGGTTATTTGAGGAAGAAGTGTAAAAATGAACATGTTCTAAAAACTGTTAATACTACAATCTAAACTAGAACATAGGGGGAAAATACAAGATGAAAAGTTAGATTATTTCCTGATTGTGAAAGGTATCAGGTGCTACTGTGAGGAGTTTGTAGTTAATTAAGCTGCCATGGGCATGTTTTAAGCACAATCACAATTGAATCTAGGTTTCAACCATATTTGAAATAACAGCTAATACAAATTTCAAGCATAATTCTAACATCAAAGACGTCTCAAATTTGCATGTCTTTGGCATACAAACCTTAGAATAGACTCTGATTAAAACAATTAAAATATCAGTAACAGTCTTTATTACTGGGTTCATTTGATCCTGGAGCATTTCAGCTTGTGAAAAGGTACCAGAGAAAATAATATTTCCTACTTCTTTATGTTCTCTCCTCAAAACCCCCTAAAATTTTATATAATCACCTCAAATTTCATAAGCATAGACTATCAGAATAAAAAGGAAATTCAATAGTAATATAATCCAACTACATATCTGATGCTTAAATTATTCCGTAACATCTCTATTGAATAATTGTTCAGCATTTGCATAACCAGGAATGATACAGCTCCTTACTTTGTTGGGCCACTGTCTTTCATATAAAGGTAGTTTTTACTATTATAGAGATCTCCCTCATGATAAGTCAAAATCAATTTTCCTGTATGTTCAACCTAGTTTCTCTAGTTTTAGTTCTGGAGCAATTGTCATTCTTCTATACCAGAACTCACTGAGGTCAATTTTTGTTTTTGGCCAAATTCAATTCTTGCCACCAACTGCCCATGAGTTTCTTTAAAATTTCTTTATCTAATATGCTTTGGTACCCTGTATTCATCTTGGTCATCTTCTTTTGAATGAGCCCAATTTACCTAAAGGATATTTCTTTAAAAAACAAGATAAATTAGAATTTTAGAAATTAGAGTTTATGAATCCTAGGCTGACCCCTCCACAGGCTTTGATGCCTGCAAACCATGCCACACTGTGCCCCAACTTCTCTAAAATGGTCAATTCCAGAGTCTACTTTAGTTCTCATAAATCTGTAATATAAATAAACTGTCTGGCAGTTAGGTCTTTCACCTAAACTTCTAACATTCACGTTTAGAGGAGATAACATGTTTGGAGGTGGTTTTCCATGGTAACTATTCTATACCCATCACCAACATGGGGTCCAGAAACAACAGACCTCAGATTGACTGTGTATTCCTTTCCAGTGAAGAGCTATTTAGTAGCTGTACTTATTTCTTACTTCTTTAATTCATGTATACATCCATCCATTTTAAAACCAGCTATTGAGCTCTTATTTCATTTTGTCTTATCCAATTCTGAGTATGTTTGATACACCAGAGTAATGACTGAGATATAACGTATTTTAATACACATTTTTTGCTATTTTAAAAAAATTTACTGGAACTGTACCACAATAGGCAAACTTTAATCTGGGGTATGATAATCACTGAAAACCTTCATTCAAAAGATATGTGCTAGTTGAGGTGAGATAGAGAAGGATAGGAAATTATTAGTTGAATTTGATAACTTTGGCTGTTGGTTATGATCTAGATGAGATCTATTTCAGCCACTAGAGAAAAAATTAAAAAACGAAACAGACAATGTGGGCACTAATTTGGAGATGTTTTACCATGAGGGAGAAGGAGGATATAAGGTATAGTTAGGAAAGTGGGATTCTGGGGGTTTTATTTTATTTAGAAGTCTAGGTTACTCCCCAACCCATTCCTTGAAGATTCTACCCCCTGGCTCACTGCCACTCTCCCCAAGATACTGCTCTTGTTATAGTGCTTGGTTATTTTAATTTTCACATAGAATAGTTTGCATTCTGAGATTCCTTAATCCTCACTTATCCAATGATTTTAGCCATTCATTCCCACAGTCATATCTTAAATATTGGCATTAATGATAACTGCCATCCTCTCTGACCAAATTTCAAACAAACTCCTGAGTAAAATAAAATGATTGCTGTTTTAACGCACTAAATTTTGAAATGGTTTGTATGCAGCAATGGATTATTGACACATTGAAAATATGTTCCTACTCATCCCACCAAAATAGATGCCAATGGGGCTTCTTCACAAAGCTGTCTGCATGAAATCACTACTTCCCATGCTAGAGAGGGAGGGGAAAAATAAAGACCCAGAAAATGTTAATGAAAAGATATTACAACACTGATAAGTCATGTTGATACTATGTACCTGTGATATGATGTAATAAAAATGGTATTTTATCTCTGTGACTGTCATCTCCAGTCTAATCATAAGAAAACCATCAGAAAACTTCAAATAAAGGGAGATCATATAAAACACTCGACCAGTACCCCTCAACACTATCAAGGTTATGAAACAAAAGGAAAGTACAGGAAACCATCACAGTCAAGAAGAGCCTAAAGAGACATGACAACTAAATGTAATGTGATGTTCCAGTTGGGATCCTGCATCAGAGAAAACAAAAAAGATAAAAACAAAACAAACAAACCAACTAAAGAAATCTGGTCATTATCAGCTTGGACAACATGCCCAAAATCCATCTCTACAAAAAATACAAAAAAAAATTAGCCAGGCCTGGTGGCATATATCTGTAATCCCAGCTTTGGCGGGGGCTGAGATGGGAGGATCACATGAGCTCAGGCTGGTCCAGGCTGCAGTGAGGCGTGATCACACCATGGCACTCCAACCCTGTAGCCTGGATGAGAGAGTGAGACCCAGTCAAAGAAGAAAGAAAAGAGAAAGAAAGAAGGAAGGAAGAAAGGAATAAGAAAGGAAGGAAGGAGAGAGAGAGGAAGAAATTAAAAAAGCAAAAGAAGAGAAAGAAGGGAAAGAGAGAAAGAATGAGAAAGAAAGAAAGAGAAAGAAAGGGAGGGAGGGGAAGGAAGAAAGGAAGGAAGGAATGAAGAAAAGGAAGGAAGGAAGGAAAAAAAATAAAGTGTTATGAACTTAATAATAAGGTATCAATGTTATTTCATTTTTTAATTTTCTTAATTGTAACTAATACACCGTAATAATGTAAGATGGTAATAACAGGGAAAACTAGTTGTGGAATAAAATGTAACTATACTAACGCCTCAATTTTTCTAAAACTTTGAATCCAAAACTGATCTATAAAATAAAGTCTATTTAAAAATAAATAAAAGAAACTATATGGTGTGTCCTGGTTTTTTGTGTTACTAGCTGTTCAAAGTTTATACTGAGTGCATCTAATTAATAGAGTCCAAGTTACATGCTGTGCCTTAGTTGCAACAGAGACAAGAAAAGTGAATTTTCACTTTATTCGACCTCTATGGAGGGGTTTCTAACTTCCTCCCAAACTCACATAAAAGTATAAAAAAAGTAAAGACATTCAGTTGGTTGGAAGCCAAAAATGGACAAATACCTAACACATGACCTATGAAATGAAATCACCATCACTAATAACTACCCACAATTCTAGATTGAATACTGCAACCCACAATTTATACAAAACTATATTCTGAGGATGTATAGAATATAAAACTTTGAAGAAGTATAAAATCTTTGCATAGAAAATGTTTCTGTTGGGTGTTAAGGCAGTCCTCTTCTTGCTGTATTTTCTAATATATTTCCAATGCTAGTAAAATATTTGCCATATATTACATTCTCAATAAAAATGTGTTGAATGAATAAATAAGTGGTCTAAGGAAAACTGTTGGTTTAAGTTAGGTCCAGTCTTCACTATATCTTTTCCTAAATTCAGGTTGAGTATTACTTATCCAAAATCCTTGGGAGCAGATATGTTTCAGATTTTGGATTTTTTTCTGATTTTGAAATATTTGCATATGCTTTTTTTTTTTTTTTGATACAGAGTCTCGCTCTTTCACCCAGGCTGGAGTGCAGTTGTGCAATCTTGGCTCACTTCAACCTCCGTCTTCAGGGTTCAAGCGATTCTCCTGCCTCAGCCTCCGGTGTAGGTGGGATTACAGGCATGCACCACCAGGGCTGGCTAATTTTTTGTATTTTTTAGTAGAGATGGGGTTCCACCATCTTGGCCAGGCTGATCTCGAACTCCTGACCTCAGGTGATCTGCTTGCCTCGGCCTCCCAAAGTGCTGGGATTATAGGCGTGAGCCCCTGTGGCTGGCCAGTATTTGAATATACATAATGAGATACTTTGACATGGAACCCAAATCTAAACAAAACTCATCATGTTTTATATACAGCTTATACACATAGCCTGAAGGGAATATTATACAATATTTTTAATAATTTTGTGCAGAAAGCAAAGTTTGTATACATTGAACAATCAGAAAGCAAAGATGTTACCATCTCAGCCACCCATGTGGACAATCTGTGGTTTTTGATATCACCATCATTTCTGACTCTGGATTTATATGTTATCTATACGCAATCACTTACTTACAATTATTCACACATCAATAGTAGACAGTAAAATATGACATACCACTAATACAGGGAAAAAATAATGTATTCAGGGTAACTAAGCAGCATGGAAGCATCACCACAATACCTGGGACAATGAATAAACTGTGTGTTGTGCACCTGTGTGGTGACTGCAACCCATTGCACGAGGTCATCTTTGGAATATTCCATTTGTAGCATCATGTCAGTGCTCCAAAAACTTTCATTTTGGATTTTCATATTAGGGATGCACAACCTGTAAATACAGACAGATGTTAATCCAGAAGAGCTGGATTTCATGATGATAGAAGAAATAGGGTTTATAGCAAACATTTCCTTTTTTTTCCCCATTTATTTATTTTATTGCATTTTAGGTTTTGGGGCACATGTGAAGAACATGCAAAATTGTTGCATAGGTACACACGTAGCAGTGTGATTTGCTGCCTTCCTCCCCATCACCTACATCTGGCATTTCTCCCCTTGCTATCTCTCCCCAGCTCCCCACCCCCCACCATCCCTCCCCTATTTCCCCCCAACAGACCCCAGTGTGTAGTGCTCCCCTCCCTGTGTCCACGTGTTCTCATTGTTCAACACCCGCCTATGAGTGAGAACATGCGGTGTTTGATCTTCTGCTCTTCTGTCAGTTTATAGCAAACATTTCTATGCATCCTAAGGAGCTAGTCCCACATGGCTTCAGAATCCTTCACCTCTACAAGAGTCATATTGTTACAGTTTGAATGTGTCCCCTGCAAAATTCTAGTAATAAAATTTAATGGCAAATGCGATAGTATTATGAGGTGGGGCCTTTAAAGGGTGACTAGGTCATAAGGGTTTCTCTCCTCCTAAATGGGAATAAGGCCTTATTAAAAAGGTTTAATGCAGTTGTGGGCTTTCTTGTCATCCACATTGCCTTCTGTCATGGGAGGGGACAGCATTCCTCCCCTCCAGAGAATGCAGCAATAAAGCACCATGTTGGAAGCAGGTAACAGCTTTCGCCAGACAACTGAACATGCTGGTGCCTTGATTTTGGAGTTCCAAAATCAAAAATAGAAATTTCTGTTCTTTATAAGTTACCCAGTCTCTGTTATTTTGTTGTAGTAGCACAGACTAAGATAGGAATGTTGAGACAAACCTTATAAAGTTGTGTCATTTAAAAAATAGCTGGATTGTTAGTAAGGTGACTATAACCTGAAAATTACCCTTGTTCAATCAGTGGACAAACATACTGGTCAGAAACCTTTATACCTATGAGAGGTATTAGAGGAAAACTAGTCATTCTCTCTCTTACTTTGTGCCTCTTCCATTTCCTTACCTCTTAACTGGCTGTATACCATGCTTGAGCCTGTTACTGGCAACACTTGAGAAGTTAAAATGTTTATTTCACCTAATTAAATATGACTTTTATAAAGATCAAGGCCCTCAGAAATGATTCATGGCACATACACCATATACCCAATTTTAGAAAATGTTATTCCACAATTCCGTCATATCTTGTTAATGGCTAAGTCTTAAAGGATTGAGTGGGCAGCAGTGGGATAAGTATGAAGTGACAGAGCCTGAAGCCCCACCCTGCCATCTCAGTTTCAATAAATTTGGGGATGATAATAATCTCTATCTTAAGTGAAGTGATAATAATTACATGAGATTACATCTACAATGTGTTTATGATTTAAGAAGTACAAGGTGGGTTAGCAAAAATTTCTAGTTGCCAGCTTGCTTTACCGTGGTCGATTCCTGGCCTAGATATAAAGCTCTCTCTGGTTTAATTTCTTTCACTTTGCTCCTACAGCACTGTCTACCTGCCTCTATGCAAGCACTAATCATATCATCATGTACTTAATGCCACTGAGCATTCTCACCCCTGTGATACACACATCTCTTCCCTCTGTGTCTCCACACCCACGAGATTTCCTCCTACCTCTCAGGCTGATCCTTCTCTCTCTTTTTTGCATGCCCACCTTCCTGACTCAACCAATGCTGCCAAAACCGAACAACGAACTGCAAGACCTCTTACTTCTATACAAACTGAATGAATGAATCTGCGAACCAATAAACCAATAAAGACCATGTAGGACACCAGACAATTTCTTGTCAAAATTAACATTGTTTTTTAATTCCAGACAAAAAGGCTGTGGGGAACAGAAAGGCGATTTGGACTAGCTTTTCCGTAGGGGGTGAGTAAGCGCCGGAAGTATGACGCTCATTTCTTTTAGCCACCGGAAGCATAGTGTGAGTCCATTTACAGGGCCAGAGTTGCAAGCGCGCGGCGTGGGCGGGGCCTGCAGAAAGGGGCGGAGCTTGAAAAGGCCTGGTCTACCTTACCGACCCGCGTCGCGGGGGCTCCTGGGGGTTCCTTCCACAGCTGGTGCGCGTGCGCAAGAGTGCGCCGAGAGTGTGCCGTGGTAATTTATGAAACTCGAAGAGGGCACTGAGTTGAGGGTTCGGCGAAGTCAGGGTTTCCTAGTTGCGGCGTGGTTACCAACGCCAGCTCTCTTCACTGGCCAAGACAGCGATTCCGCGGCTCCTCTCAGAACTGGCGCTTGGGCGTGACGGAACGGGCCCCTGGACAGAAGCGGTGCTCACAGGTATCACCCTCTTCAGCGGGCGGTGGGGGCGCGGGGGCGTGGATTTGGGAATCAAGCTTGAGCGCGTCTTGCGGAACGTGCAGCTCCCCTCAGCTTGCTTGCAGTTACCCTATTCCCACGCTGCCCTCCAAGGTCTGTGCGGGAGAACCTGGACGAGAGCAGGAGCTGAAGGGAGGGATGGATACGCGGGCTGCGGAAGGAAGACAAGCCCGAGAGCAGCGACAGAGGGCTAGGGATGGGCGGCGGGACGGCTGTAGTCAGGATCCAGCTTCGCTAAAATAAGGATTTAACCACACTCCTGGCGCCTCTTCCATTCTGTAATAGGGGCAGTCTCCAGACTCGCAACGTGGTTAGTATATTATGATCAGTTGGTTTGGGAATGGCTGGTATTCATGCCTTATGGGAAAACCAAGTGTGACTGGATCGATCAACTGGGAAAGTAAATGGAGTTTTAATTAATTCCATATTGCCTTGTTTCCCCATTCATTCCCGGCCACCTCCCTAAAACATTATAAAACCTCCAAGTGTCGTACTTATTTCAGTCACTTATTTGCAAGCTGTTTTCTGTTCCTCTTTATCTGAGCTAATCTCTCCAGGTGGTTCTTATCCCAGGCAGCCGTCCTACCTACCACTTGTTTGATTAGAAATAACCCTCTTCACAGGCAGATACTACCCCTTTTCCATAATGAGCAGATATTCAAGTTCCTGGCGGCCATAAAACGATAGAACCTGTGCCAACTGGTGATATTAGTCTAACCCTCCACTACGACGTTCGGGTCCCTCCAACACAGTAATACTGGCTCCGTGTCTCAATCTTGAATTCCACCGTTATATCAGAGGCCTCTATTCAGTACTTCAGAGTTCAAATGTTGTATTTCTTGGCTTTGTATATTCCAGTGTTCATCACTTACAGACCATTTAAACTACTTGGAGTCATGTCACACCTTGGATCTCTCTCATCAGAACTGTTCCACCTCGGAAATCTTTTTTTTTTTCTTTTAATTTTACTTTAGGTATATACTATAACCAGCATTTTTCCCCATGCTATCCCTCCCCACCCTCCCCCGTCCCTCCCCTACCCCCCCACAACTGCCCCCAGTGTGTGATGCCCCTCTCCCTGAGTCCACATGTTCTCATTGTTCAACACCCACCTATGAGTGAGAACATGCAGTGTTTGGTTTTCTGTTCTTGCGTCAGTTTGCTGAGAATGATGGCTTCCAGATTCATTCAGGTCCCTACAAGGGACGCAAACTCATCATTTTTTATGGCTGCGTAGTATCCCATGGTGTATATGTACCACATTTTCTTTGTCCAGTCTATCATTGATGGGCATTTGGGTTGGTTCCAGGTCTTTGCTATTGTACACAGGGCTGCAATGAACATACATGTGCATGTGTCTTTACAGTAGAACTATTTATAGTTCTTTGGGTAATGGGATTGCTAGGGCAAATGAAATTTCTATTTCTAAATCCTTGAGAAATTGCCACACTGTCTTCCACAATGGTTAAACTAATTTACACTCCCACTGTGTGGGAGTGTTCCTATTTCTCCACATCCTTTCCAGCGTCTGTTGTCTCCAGACTTTTTAATGATGGTCATTCTAACTGGCGTGAGATGGTATCTCAATGTGGTTTTGATTTGCATTTCTCTAATGATCAGTGATGATGAGCATTTTTTCATGTTTGTTGTCCTCATATATGTCTTCTTTTGTAAAGTGTCTGTTCATATCCTTCACCCACTTTTGAATGTTTTTTTTTTTTTTTCTCCTTGTATATCTGTTTTAGTTATTTGTAGATTCTGGATATTAGCCCTTTGTCAGATGGGTAGATTGCAAAAAGTTTTTCCTGTTCTGTTGGTTGCCAGTTTGCTCTAATGATGGTTTCTTTTGCTGTACAGAAGCTCTGAATTTTAATTAGATCCCATTTGTCTAACTTGGCTTTTATTGCCATTGCTTTTGGTGTTTTAGTCACGAAGTCCTTGCCTGTGCCTATGTCCTGGATGGTTTTGCCTATGGGTTCTTCCATTTTTTTTTTATGGTGTTAGGTTTTATGTTTAAATCTTTAATCCATCTGGAGTTAATTTTAGTGTAAGGTGACAGAAAGGGGTCCAGTTTCTGCTTTCTGCACATTGCTAGCCAGTTTTCCCAACACTATTTATTAAACAGGGAATCCTTTCCCCATGACTTGCTTTTGTCAGATTTGTCAAAGATCAGATTGTTGTAGATGTGTGGTGTTGCTTCTGGGGCCTCTGTTCTGTTCCATTGGTCTATATCTCTGTTTTGGTATCAGTACCATGCTGTTTTGATTACTGTGGCCTTGTAGTATAGTTTGAAGTCTGGCAGTGTGATGCCTCCAGCTTTTTTTTTTTTTGTTTAGGATTGCCTTGGCTATGTGGGCTCTTTTGTGATTCCATACGAAGTTAAAAGTGGTTTTTTTCCAGTTCTGTGAAGGTCATTGGTATCTTGATGACTATAGCATTGAATCTATAAATTACTTTGGGCAGTATGGTCATTTTCACGATATTAATTCTTCCTAACCATGAGCATGGCATGTTTTTCCATCTGTTTGTGTCCTCTCTTATTTCGTTGAGCACTGGCTTGTAGTTCTCCTTGAAGAGGTCCTTTACGTTCCTTTGTTAGCTGTATTCCTAGGTATTTTATTCTCTTTGTAGCAATTGTGAATGGGAGTTCACTCTTGATTTGGCTCTGTGTTTGTCTGTTATTGGTATATAGGAATGCTTGTGATTTCTGCACATTGATTTTGTACCCTGAGACTTTCCTGAAGTTGCTTATCAGTTTGAGATGATTTTGGATTGAGACGATGGGGTCTTCTAGATATACAATCATGTTGTCTGCAAATAGAGACAGTTTGACTTCCTCCTTTCTTATTTGAATACTGTTTATTTCTTTTTCTTGCCTGATAGCTCTGGTTAGAACTTCCGATACTATATTGAATAGGAGTGGTGAGAGAGGGCATCCTTGTCTAGTGCCTGACTTCAAAGGGAATTCTAGCTTTTGTCTGTTCAGTTTGATATTGGCTGTAGGTTTGTCATAAATGGCTTTTATCGTTTTATGATACGTTCTGTCGATACCTAGTTTATTGCCACCTCGGAAATCTTAAATGCAGCATCCCATCCTGAACGTCTCTCCCTGTCCTAGGTCTATAACTATTTACAGTAATTCATTAATTTGTGTTTGTCACCTATAGACTTCCCAGTATATTTGATGCTTTTTGTATTTCCTGAGTTGAATATTTAATGCATCTCATTCTTGTTTAATTATGTGTAAGGCTTTTCCATTGCCTAGCAGGAGCTTCAGCTATGCCCTTTAGATTTTGATGTACAATATTTGTACTGTTTTTGGTTTTTAGACACTTTGCAATTGTACTTTTGATTCTCTGTTTTTTTAGAAGCAAGCATTTGAATTTTAAAGTAGGTAAAATTGTTTTTCCTATATGGTGTTAATTTCTGGTTTTGCATTCTAGTAATAAGTGTGGTTTCCTATACTCTTGTTTACTATTAAGGATTTTCTGTTTGGTAGTCTAATAAATAGCTTCTGTAACCATTCCCACAGGTGCTTGAAGAGAAACTACATTTTATCTAGTTTTATTTATTTATTAGACTAAGCATATCCATTATACTATTACTTTTTTGACTTTATCTGTCAAAGTCTTAGTTACTTAATGTCCCATTTCTATTGTATCATTGTTGACTTCATTTCTTGTTTTCTGAGAATTTTGCTAAAAATGTTTCAAGTATGTTATACATTTAAGGACAGTTGTATTTCATTATGAGTTATTATCATCTGGTTTCCTCTGTCTAATGTGTTTGTGCTTTAAATTCATTATAATTTTAATTCACTACTACAGTTTTGCATATTTTTTTAAGTTTGCCTGGTATTTAAAAAAATCCTTTTAGTTTTGGAGTTCTTTTGGGTTGGATGTCTTTTGAGTTTCTATGTAGTTTGAGTTTAAATTTTTACCCAGAACATTTTTTGTTGCAATAAATATCCTTGTTATTTTTACTTTTTAGCATAAAGCCTTTTTTGTTTTGTCTTTGACATATGGCCTGTGACGTTGTATTTTTTCTCTCTCCATTTATGTTAATTTCAAAGTATCTGGGCCTGTAGTTCATTTTTTTTTGTTGGACTCACTTCAGGACTATTCCATCAGTCATATTTAAGAGATCTCTCTTGGCTGGTGGCTCACACCTGTAATCCCAGCACTTTGGGAGGCTGAGGTGGGTGGATAATCTGAAGTCAGGAGTTCGAGACCAGCCTGATCAACATGGTGGAACTCCATCTCTACTAAATATAAAAAATGAGCTGGGCATGGTGGCGTATGCCTGTAATCCTAGCCGCTTAGGAGGCTGAGGCAGGAGAATCGCTTGAACCGGGGAGGTGGAGGTTGTAGTGAGCTGAGATTGCACCATTGCACTCCAGCCTGGGCAACGAGAGCAAAACCTCTGTCTTAAAAAAAAAAGAGAGATTTTTGTTCAATGATTATTCTTTTCCCATAGGATTGTGTTTGTTTTCTTTAATAAGGCTTGTGTGTAGAGGTGGTTCCGATTTGTTTTCTGTGTCAGGTGGGACCATGAGTTCTCTAAATGGGCCTTTCATCTGCAGAAAACTTCACTGAGCCAGCTGCCCCCTCTTTGTTGCTTGTTTTGTTTTGTGTCTTCACTGAGTAAGGGCTGAGTGGTATATTTTTAGAGCCTGTAAGGGTCTGTCTGAAAATTGTTAGTGTCCTGAAAAAATACAGTTGCATAAACCAAAGGTGGAGCTAATGAGGCCAGATCAGGAGTGTTGTGGATGTCAACAGTTGTGGCAGGTTTTCAGTCTGTTGTCTTAACTGTGGGCCTTGGCAGATGTAAATGTGAAGAAAGATAGACTTTTGTTACTGATTTGGGGAGATGTCAGGGAGTACTCCAGAGGGATTCATTAGAGGCAGCACTTGTTTCAGGGCAACTGGAAGCAATTTTCTATTCAGTGAGACCCAGGAATAGCCCATGAAAGGCACCATTGCCCTTTTTTTCCCTTGGCCATGACAACCTAGATGGGATCTTTCAAGCCAGAAGGCACCTACCTCTGTGGCTTTTCACTTGCTGTGGGAAATCCTTTGGGGAGTTTGCATTCACAGAGGAAAAAAAATTTCTAAATAAAGTGAGTAAAGTTACAGGAAAATAGAGAAGATAGTACAACAGAGTATCCATATACCCCTCCACTCATTTTTCCTATAGGTAACATTTTATATTAGTATAGTACATTTGTTACAATTAATAATACTACATTAACTCCATGTTTTATTCAAGTTTAATTTTTACCTAATGTCTTTTTTACTGATCTGGAATCCATCCAGTATACCACGTTACATTCTGTCTTCATGCCTCCTTAGGCTTCTCTTAGCTGTGACTGTTTCTCAGACATTCCTAGTTTCTGATCATGCTGACAGTTTTGAGGGAGTATTGGTTAAGTATAGAGAACCATCTGCTGGATTCTGATGTTTTTGTCATTATTAGACTGGGATTATGGGTTTAGAGCAGGGAGATCACAGAGGTACAATGCCGTTTTTAATCACCTTGTCTTAAGGCTACATACTGCCAACATGACTTACTGCTGTTGATGTTAATCTTGATCACCTGGCTGAGAGCGTTTGTCAGGTTTTTCTACTGTAAATTTACCTTCTCCCTCCCCCGACCATACTATACTCTTTGGCAGGAAGAGCCCATACTCAAGGGGTGGGGAGTTATGCTGTATCTCATGGATGACTGAGAATTTACATAAACTATTTGGAATTTTTCTGCATAGGAGATTTGTTTATTCTCCCCCATTTATTTACTTAATAAGTTACCATTTATATCAGTATGGCTTATGAGTTTTAATTTAATTGTTTGAATTATAATCTAATATTTATTCTGTTGCTTATATTGTTCCAGATTAAGCCATAGGGAACTCTTTCATTTGGCTCCTGTGTACCTTTGATGTACCCCAATAAATATTTTAGTTTTATTTCTGTTTATTTTTTGAGAATTTCTTTATGTCACTATAAGATACTCAGTGATTATCTTGTATGACCTCAGTCCTAGAATCAGCCATTTCTCTAAGAAATCCTGGTTCTTATTGGAGAACGGTATTAGAAACCAAGATCTGGGAGCTAATTGTTCTTTTGCTGCTGGGCTATTCTTGCTTCTAGACCTACTCAACCAACAGAGCAAGGAAATATGTATTTATACTAATCTATGTATATATACATATCTGTAAATATTTCTGTATGTAACCATCTTCATCTAAATTGAACCAAATACAAGTTCATACTTATATCTCCAATGCTAATCCATTATCACATGGATCATTTTAGCCTCCTTCCCTTGGTTATTTGTAAATTTCTAGTCAAACATTGAGAAACCTCACTTTCACCATTAATTTGCCACTAAACTGTCTTTTCATAGTTCTTTGTGTATCCTTCCCCAACTCTGTTCACTAATCCTTATTTGAATGTTGAATGATCTATTCAGGTAGGCATTGCCATGGACAAGGTCACACAAACTTTTGACCAATAAGATCTACAAACATTGTAATACACTTGTGTGCATATGATCTATTGAGTGCTTACTGTGTGTCAAGAAATGAGATGAGAATTTAATCTCTATAATTTGATCAGATATTGTTATATCCGTTTTACAGTTGAGAACACAAACTTGGGTTAATATAACTTGGTCAGCTTAATACATATAGTAACTAGTACAGCTGGGATATAAACTGACTACAAAGTATGTGCTCTCATTCACAATATAGTGCCTATGGCAGAGTTTCTAAACCTTGGAATTATTGATACTTTGGTCTGGGTAATTCTTTGCTGTAGGGGGCTCTCCTGTGTAGGATATTTAGCAACATTCCTGGCTTTTACCTCCTAGATGCCAGGTACAGTCTCTAGCTATAACTATCAAAATGGTCTCTAGACATTGCCAAATTTCCCCGGTGGCAAAATCTCCCAGTCAAAAACAACTCACCTTAGATGATTATAATCAAAATGATGCCTGAGTAGTAAATTGCATTGGGACTTGGAGAACTGTAAATCAAATAGAAAGCTGTATCTGGACTTCCCTGAATGTAGTGATTCCCATAATTTGGCAGGCTCTTTGGGGCAACCCTAAAAGTTGTCCTCAGTTGTTATGAGAGATATTGGCTCCTGGGGGAATTCTTTTGAGTCAGAGTGTTTCCTACATCATCACATTTATGGGTCTCATCTCCCTGCACTTGAGCTAAACTCTGCAAAGACTCACACCGAAGAAAAGTGAATATTATTCTTTTGCTACCAAGTTGTTTTTTTGCCTTCTGAGTAAATTGGTGCCGAATATGACCTGTGGTAGTCTTGCAAGTCTAAATGTTCAGTTGTGCCTAAGACTCCCTGGTGGGCATTGCATACTTGTCCATAGTGAGTCCTAACAAATAAAAACTTTTAATTGTAGCCAGAGACTGTACTTTTGGATTTATTCCTAATAATAAAACAGTTTATGGGTATTGTTCTAGTATATTTTAAATAATTGCCTCTTACCTTTCTCGTGCTATTGCCAGTTTTACTCATCTTACAGAATTTTATTGGTATTTTAATGAGAACTTGGGGAAAGGTTTTTCAGTCATATCTAGTCAGAAGCCTTAATATCCTACTTGAAGATTTGTGTTGCTTAATTTTAAAGTAAAAATTATTTGCTACCTGATACAGAATAAATCTAATTGCAATTCAATTATGAAGTCTTTTTAAATCCAAGGACTCTTTCCTTTATCATTTGTTTTGAGATGTCTGTTTATCTTCGTGTGTTTCTCTATCCTTTGGGAAACTGGTTAGGAGAAAGGGAAAGCATATTTTCTAATTCTAAGAAAGAAAAACAAAAATAGAAGGAGAATCCATGATATGTATTTTTTCTTAGGCAATTTTAAGAATATTATTTATGTTTTAACGCTATACTAATAGATGTTTGTTACCTGTGGGTTAATTTCTATTTTTTTTTTTTTTTTTTTTTTTCAGGTTCTTAGCTCAAGCCTGAGAATTACTGCAATCCAGTAAGGCAGATTTGAACTACTGTGGGAGTTCTATTTAGGAAGATGCAGCCTCTGAGCAAGTTGATGGCTACCTCAAAACCTCAAAACCTGTCTCTACATGAACAAAGAGGCTTTCTGAGAGCAGATCTGTCTTGGCAGCAAGAAAACAACCCTGTCATGGAGACACAGGACTCTGAGGCATCTCGTCAAAAGTTCAGACATTTCCAGTATTTGAAAGTGTCTGGACCCCATGAAGCCCTGAGCCAGCTCTGGGAGCTCTGTGTTCAATGGCTGAGACCAGAGATTCATACAAAGAAGCAGATCATTGAACTGTTGGTGCTGGAACAATTCCTGGCAGTCCTGCCTGAAGAAGTCAGGACTTGGGTGAATTTACAACATCCAAACAACAGTAAAGATGTGGTGACCCTCATAGAAAATGTGATTGAAATGCTTGAAGATAAAGGTAAGAATATAAAAAAATTAGAGGTAAAATACTTGACCTTTCCATGTGAAGAGAAGTTATCTTTTTCTGAAGCTATAGGGCATCAAGTACCAGATATTGAAGGAGTTTATATTACTGTATTAGGAAGCCTTAACTTTATTCTGTAGGTAATAGAAATAGAGAATTAGATCTCACAGACTGGGTAAGGGAGTGAGACAGCTGGATTTGCCAGTTGAAAATATTATGTTGACATCAATTTAGAGCAGGAGTTGGCAAAATATGGCAAACAGGCCAAATATTTTTTAAAATAAAGCATTATTGGAACACAGCTATGTCCATTTACATTTTGTCTATGGTTGCTTTTGTGCCATGACCAGAGTTGAGTACTTGTAGCAGAGACTGTATTGTCTGCAAAGTCTAAAATCTTTGTTATCTGGCCCTATACAGAAAAAGTTTAGCAACATCTCATATAAAGGAGAGAGTCTGAGGATTCTGAAAATAGGAAAACCAGTTAGGAGACTATTTTGTGATAGATTAGGTGTTAGAGAATGAACTTTGGGAAAATAGGACTTTGAACTGAGAGGAACTATAAACGTATAAATAGGATATATTTTGACATAAATTCACATATACTGGCCTGCATGAGTGGAATTTGGGAATGGGGGAAGTGCGTAATACTTTAATTATATGGTAAGTTTTATTTGAGGCCCTTGTGAGATTTTCACAATGAATAAACCGATATATAGTTAACAACATGGCTTTAGTGTTCAGAAAGAGAAGATTTGGAAGCTTATAGGTATAAACAGAGAAGTAGGAGAAATGTAAACCCTTAGGGAGATCAATATTTAAGAGATAGCCTAAGATGTAGCTGTCAGTTACAGGAAATACAGAGGATAGTGCAACATGTTAAGCTATACCATGGTAATACCATTTGTAAAATCCAAACTGGGAAACTATAAGACATCCCAGTTTTTAAGGGAATTGGGAGGAGTATGGCAAAGTGATATATATATATATGTATCTTTTAAGTTTTTTAAATCATGGGAATGTGTGGCCCTTATAAGATATGAGGCTGTGAATGGATATTTGATGAGGAATTATTGACTGGGGACAGTGATTATGTTGATATTGTGGTTATAGTTAGTCTTTAAAAAATATTTTTTTAAATGAGTAAAAGAAAAGCCAGGTAAGCAGCCTAGAAAGGAATAATTCAGGAAGTCAGAGGACCAGAAAAGATTGGTATCTGAGTTAAAAAAGGAGAAATTTTCAAGAAGTGAATGTTCAACAATGGTATAACAAAAAGGTCCTATTAAAATTAAAGGTAATTCATTGAAATTGTTGATTAGGAGGAACTTTAAGCTTTAGTTTGAGCAGTTTTAGAGGATCTGAGGTGTGCTTATTTGTAGTGAGTTGTATTACTTTTCTATTGCTACTATATTAAATTGCCACAAACTTGGTGGCTTAAAACAATATGAATGTAGTACAATGTATTCCACAAGTCTGTAGATCAGAGATCCAACATGGGTCTCCCTCAGCTAAAATCAAGGTAATGGTGGAACCATTTTCTTTCTGGGGCTTATGTTCCCCTTCCCCTGTCTGCAAAGCTAGCAACAATAGGCCAAGTCCTTTTCAAACTGCCACATCTCTGACACTTTATTCTGTTGTCACAGCGCTTGCTCACTCATGGTGCTTCTTCCTGTTTCACTACACTGGGAAAAGCCCCTTACTTTCCACAATTCGTGTGATTAGGTTGTGATCATGCAGATAATTCAAGATGATCTCCCTCATCTTAAGGTCCTTGACTTTAATCACATCTGCAGAGTCCCTCTTGTCATGTATTCAATGACTAAGACATGGATATCTTTGGGGGCTGCTATTCTGCCCACCATGTGGATTAAAAAAAAATGGGCATGAGGTGGGAATGTGATCATGATGATAGACTATTCTTAAGATATCTAGTAGTAAAAGAAAATGAGAGGTTGCAGGGTAATATAAAAATGAAGAAAGGCTTTTGATGGTTTCTTTGGTTTGTCTGGTGGCTCTCTGAAAAACCTGCTCATAGGTCTTGCCCTTATTTTACCTAGCTCAAGTCACTCAGGACTGAGGTGGCTACCTGGGGTGTATTTGTCAAAAGCATGGCAATGTATTAGCTACTGCTGTCTTAGATAATAAGTAACAGTTGAGATGTAGAACCAACCAAAAAGATTAGGAGGAAAGGCTGGAGAATGATATGCTTTGAAGGAATAAGGGGTTTTGAAAGCTCCCACATATATCTGAAAATCTGGAAGCTTGGTAACATGTTCAGAAAGACCTAAGAAAGCCCTAACCCCCATCTCTAGCTGACCTTCAGGTGTTACACAGGAAGCGAAGACTAAGGTAGAGTTAAAACTGAGTGCTGAGTGTGCCCTAACACACACAATGCATCTGCAGAGACCAAGTGATGACTTTTGTTTTTGATTTTGTTTTTATGTTTCAAGGCATTTAAGGCTTGTGACTCTGTGGAGTCACAAACTGACCACAAAGCTGAGGGAACAGAGATTCATGCAGGTACACACAACGCAGGATATAGACTTTACAAAATTAATTCAAAAGTTAATAAATGAGCAATAACTACAACAGTCAGAGCCTCAAAATATATGAAGCAAATACAGAAGTGAAAGAGAAATAGATCAAGAATAATCATTGGAGATTTCACTTTTATTAACAGATAGAAATACTAGAAAAAAGATTACAAAGGAAATAGAAGACGTGAGATACACTATAAACTGGCTTGAACTAACAAATATACAAAGTGTTCTACCCAAAAAACAACAATAGATATGTTTTCAAGTATACCTGGAATAGTCTCCAGGATAGACCAAATGTTAGACCAAAAAACAAGTTTCAGTACATTTAAGTAGATTGATATTCTATAAAGTATCTTTTCCAACAACAGCAGAATTAGGAATCAGTAACAGAAGGAAATCAGGATAATTCACAGATAAGTGGAAATTAAAAGTCACGTAATCAATTGGCCAAAAAGGAAAGCATGAGGGAAATGAAAAGATGTTTTGAGAAATGGAAACAAAAATACAACATATCAAAACTTATGACATACAGTATGTCATGAGGCATGGCTTAAATTATGGCTATAAATGCCTACATTAAAAAAGATCTCAAATAACCCTCCACCTGAAGGAACTAGAAAAAGAAAAACTAAAAGCAAGATGAAGAAAGTAAATAATTATTAGAGCAAAGATAAATGGTGTGGAGAACACAAAATAATAGAACCTACAAACCAAAGTTGGTACTTTAAAATCAGCAAAACTGACAAGGTTAGGCTACACTGATCAGGAAAAAAAGGACTTAAATTACTAAAATCAGGAAAAGTGGGGACATTAGTACTGACCTTGAATAAAATGAAAGGGCTCATAGAATACTATGAGCAATTAAATGCCAACAAATTAGATGCACTTAGATGAAATTCACAAATTCCAGAACCACAAAGGACCAAACTGACTGAGAAGAAATACAAAATCTGAACTCAACTCACCAATAATGAAAGACTGAATTAGTTATTTATAAACTTGCAACAAAGAAAACTCAAAGATGATATGGCTTCACTGGTGAATTCTACTAAACTTTTGAAGAATGAGCACCAGTATTCTCAAACTCTTTCAAAAAATAGGAGGAACACTTCCTAACTTATCCTGTGAGGCAAGTATTAATCAGAAGCCAAAGCCAGACAAAGGCATCACAAGAGAAGAAAATGGCAAACCAAATCCAACTGCATTTTAAGAGGATTATATAAAATGACTTAGCAGAATTTATCCCAGGAATGTATGGTTCAGCCAATGAAAATATATCAGTGTCATATTAATACATCATATTAATATAGTGAAAAGGGAAAATTACAAGATTATCTCAATTGATACAGAAAAAGCATCTGACAAAATCCAATGCCTTTTTATGACCAAAAAAAGAAGAAAAAAAAAAAAAAGACTAGAAGTGAGTTCACTCAACCTGACAAAGGACAATTAGGAAAAACCCCCAGTTAACATTGTACTTGATGAATTTGATTAAAAAATGAAAGCTTTGTCCTTAGAATCAGGAACAAGACAAGAATGTCCATTCTTGCCACTTATATTCAATGCCATAGTAAAGGTTCTAGCTAGCGCTATTAGGCAAGAATAAAAAAGATATCATGATGGGAAAAGAAGAAGTAAAACTATCTCTACTGGCAGTTGATACACTCTAATATAACCAAAATTCTAAAGAACCCAGTAAAAAACAATTAGACCTAATAAATTCAAAGTTGCAGGATACAAGATCAACAAAAATAGATGATGTCTTTATAGCAATGAACAAACTTAAAAAGAAACCAAGAAAATAATTTCACTTATAAAATGTGAAACAAAATCAGAGGTATTGGACTTGTCTGCTGGAAACTACAAACAGTTGTTGAAATTAAAGACTGAAGTAAATCCTGTGTTCATGTATTAAAAAACTTAATATCATAAAGATGATAATACTCTGTAAAAGCAATCTACAGATTCAAATGCAATCCCTATCAAAATCCCAGCTGCCTGTTTTTTTTTCTTTTTGGCAAAAATGGACAAACCGATCCTGAAATTCATATGGAAATTGGAAAGAAACCAAGATAGTCAAACTGCCTTCATAAAGAATATAGTTTTAGAATGTATACTTCTCAATTTCAAAACTCACTAAAAACTGTAACAATGAAAGCTATATGGTACTGGAATAGAATTGCAAATCCAGAAATAAACGCATACATCATGTCCAATTAATTTTTGACAATGGTGCCAAGACATTAAATGAGAAAATAATAGTTTTTCAAAAAATGTTGCTGGGACCACTTGATTTCCATATTCAAAAGATTGGAGTAGGGGCCTTACCTCATATTATGTACAAAAAATTAACTCAAAATGGGTCAATTGTCTAAATATAAGGGCTAAAATCACAAAATTCTGAGAAGAAAATACAGGAATAACTCGTCACCTTAAATTTGGTAATCGATGCTTAGCTATGACACCAAAAATACAAACAAAGTAAAGTAGATAAATTAGACTATCAAAATTAAACACTTTTGTGCATCAAAAGACATCAAGGCAGTGAAAAACCTACAGAATGAGAACAAATATCTTGAAAATCATATATCTGATAAGGTTCTAATATCAGGAAAATATAAATAACTCTTACAATTCAATAATAGGCAACACAGTTTTTTAAATGGGCAAAGGACTTGAATGGATATTTCTCCAAAGAAGATATACAAATGCCCCAAAAGTATAGGAATAAATGTTCAGCATCATTAGTCATTAGAGAATTACAGCTCAAAACCATAATGACACCCACTAGGATGGCTATAATAAATTACAAAAAAAGGAAAAAGAATGAGGTTAGCTAGCATGTGGAGGAATTGTTTGGAATTGTATATTGTCGTTGGGAAAATAAAATGGTTCAGCCACTGTGAAAAACAATTTGTTGGTTCCTCAAAAAATTAAACATAGAACTACCATATACCCCAGAGAATTGAAGACCAATATTCACATTAAAAAGTAGAAACAAGGGCCAGGTACTGTGGCTCACACCTGTAATCCCAGCACTTTGGGAGGCCAAGGTGGGCAGATCACAAGGTCAGGAGATTGAGACCATTCTGGCTAACACGGTGAAACCCGGTCTCTACTAAAAATACAAAAAATTAACGAGGCATGGTGGCATGCACCTGTAGTCCCAGCTACTCGGAAGACTGAGGCAAGAACTGCTTGAACCCAGGAGTCGGAGGTTACAGTGAGCTGAAATCATGCCACTGCACCCCAGCCTGCATGATAGAGTGAGACTCCATCTCAAAACACACACACACACACACACACACACACACACACACACACACACACACACAGATGGACCTCCAAAACATGCTAAGTGAAAGAAGTCAGACACAAAAGGTCACATACTATATGATTCAATTTATGTGGAATGTCCAGAATAGGCAAATTCATAAAGATAGTATTAGGAAACCCAATATATGGGAGTGACTCCTAAATGAGTATGGGGCTTTTTCTTGGTAATGAAAATGTCCTGGAATTAGATAGTGGTGATCATTGCACAACATTATGAATGTATTAAAAGCCACTGAATTGTATGCTTTAAAATAGCTAATATGGTGAATTTTACATTATGTGAATTTTACCTTTCTTTAAACTTAAAATCTAAGCTTCATAGAAAATGAAGTGACTTCACGAGAGGCATGATAGAATGGGAGAAAATTAAAGAATGTCATGTAGTGTAGTGGGACTCTGATAAAAGTTGGAGAATGTACAAAAAGCAAGGATGTGAAAATAGAAAGGATAGGAAGATACATTTAGCAATTGATTTATCCAAGTTTATTCTCATGGGAAGATAGTTCTAAGTAATAAAGACCAGGATATGAACAAGGAAGTAGATTGGTTACTGATGGTTACTAGAAATAAGAAAGTCAAAGGTCTATCAGCCTGGGTTGCCGGAAGCGTTGTCTGTGCCGGTGTTGAAGTTACCTATTAAAAGACTGTCACGATTTGGAGTGGAAAGCAACAATGTGAACCAAGTAACCAAAGTTTTTATTAGCCTAGTACAATTACTTTAATGTTGATCATTTACAATACACTAGGCTCTCTGAGGGCAGGCATTTGTGTATCTCACATAGGAGATAGTAAATATGTTGAAAAAAATGAATGTGCAATAGCTTAATACATCACAACATCAAGAACAGTATAGCTAAATGGCATAAACCAGTAAGAAATATTTTTGCATGAGAGAAAATATGAGGAAGTGGAAGGGAGGTACAAGTATATCAGAACAATTTCCAAGATCACAGTGCTTAGAGGATGCAAAAAGGTGCCTTTGATGATGCCAAGATCCATTTAGACAAGGGAGAAGGAAGAGACTATAAAGAACTTGAGACTGCATATAGATTTTTCTTTTAATGGAAAGAGGTCTTCAGAGAACACAATGGTAAGAGTTCAAGAAGGGCAGGTCTGCATGAAAGAAGTAAGGGAAGAAAAGGATATTCAGAGAGCAATAAATAAGAGGGTAGCTGATTGGAGGCATTTGCACCTTTCCAAGATACATCAAATATTTCCAAGAATGGCAAGAACAATAAACAGTATTGTATTGACTGTCCTAAAGATTATGAAATTGAGCAGATCGACATTCCACAAAGTGTTACAGACCTGAATAAAGTTGACAGATATCAGGGCCAATCTCACACTTGTAATCCCAACTTTTTGGGATGCTAAGGCAGGAGGATCATTTGAGGCCAGGAGTAAGACTAGCCCGGGCAGCATTGCAACACCCTGTCTCTAAAAAAAGAAAAAAAAAATTATCTGAACATGGTGGCACATGCATGTAGCCTTTGCTTTTCAGGAGGCTGAGGCAGGAGGATTGGTTGAATCCAGGAGTTTGAGATTGTAGTGAAGTATAATTGCACCACACTGCACGCCAGCCTGGACCAAGCGAGACCGTGTCTCTTAAAAAAAAAAAAGAAGCCGGGCGTGGTGGCTCAAGCCTGTAATCCCAGCACTTTGGGAGGCCGAGGCGGGTGGATCACGAGGTCAAGAGATCGAGACCATCCTGGTCAACACGGTGAAACCCCGTCTCTACTAAAAATACAAAACATCAGCTGGGCATGGTGGCGCATGCCTGTAATCCCAGCTACTCAGGAGGCTGAGGCAGGAGAATTGCCTGAACCCAGGAGGCGGAGGTTGCGGTGAGCCGAGATCGCACCATTGCACTCCAGCCTGGGCAACAAGAGCGAAACTCCATCTCAAAAAAAAAAAAAAAAAAAAAAAAAAGATTAATGGACCACAATCTTTGCAGCATTCACATGGTATGTTGCTGAGAAATTTGGATTTTTGTTTGCTTTTATTTACACAGAGTCTCACTCTGTCACCAGGGCTGGAGTATGGTGGTGTGATCACCACTCACTGCAGCCTCCACCTCCTAGGCTCAGGTGATCCTCCTGCCTCAGCCTCCCAAGTAGATGAGACCACAGGCACACACTCCCACACCTGGCTAATTCAGTATTATTATTTGCAGAGAAAGGGTCTCCCTATGTTGCTTAGGCTGGTTTTATATGCTAGGCTCAAGCCTTCTTCCCACCATGGCCTCTCAAAGTGTTGGGATTCCAGGTGTAAGCTACCACGCCTGCTCTGATGTGTTTTAAGAAGTCTCCATGCAGTTGTTTACATTATTGTTGAATCCAATTATACGTTTATAATAGAGAATTAATGCTTACTATTATAATGCTGCATGGTTCTAAGATTTTTGGGGGGTTTCAAAGGTCACCAAAAATTTTTAAAAATGCAAATGGAGACGATATAGATTTGCCAACTCCTTTTAAGTAAAAACATTTTTAAACTCAATAACACGTTAGAAGACATTTTAACGTCAAAAAAAGTCCCTTATCTTGAATAAATGTAATGTTATACCAAACTTATTACATTGTTTCTACTCTTTTTATTTCACCCTGAATCAGTGAAAACTTCATCACAGACCAGTATTAGTCCATAGTCTGGCACTTGCGGATGACTGATGTAACTCATGAATCTTCCAGAGTAGCCCTTGGATAAATTTCTCACTGAATGGCTGGATAAGAGAATTGGTTCTCCTTCAGAATTTTATGTCTTGAAAAAAGCGATAGTTCAAGATGGACAGGTTGTTTATGTATAGTAAGCACAGAGCAACTTATAGGAAAACAATCCTTGAACAGAATTCTCTTTGGTGTGTTTGAGGAAGGGATTGGTTGGATAAAATATTATTGGTTCCAAGTAGAATAGCCTGTGATGGCTAAGCTATAGTTAGGCTTTAGTTATGACAGAATTAGTTATTTTTTAGAATCTGCTATAACCGTAGATGAGGTCTGAAAATATTATTTTGTCCCTCTTTCTGATTCAACAGATCTCAACCCCTGGCAGCATATCAGAATCACATTAAATTTTTTTTTTTTTTTTAAATACAAGATCTAGGCCTGACCTTTGAAGATTGTGACTGTTGGTAGTGCCTGACATTATTTTTTCAAAGTTCTATGGATAATTCCTGCGAATATCATATTAAAACAACTATAATTATTAGAGGTTGCTCCAGGGCAAAACTTGTCTCCTTAATATTTTTCTTCATCTTCCTCAGATACACCCTGCAAGGACTCTGCGCCCCAGAAGGGGAGCATCAAGGATAAAATGAAAGCTGACTCACAAACGGGCAAACCACAGGTGAATTAGGATTCTAGTCTTTACTGAACATATATGCTTGTTTTTAGTATTACCTGCCTTTACTTTTTTGACCTTTGAACTTTTGCCAAACATGGTTCCATCCAGGGACATGAGACTTTTATTTTTCTACAGGACATTAGTCCTGTTTTAGTTGGTGATTCACTCTTAGACAGATATTCTCTCTGTGTATCTGTTCCCTCAAAAATATAGTTCCTATTTTATCTGTAGAAGCTATAGATGTAGAGTCTACTCAGAAAATGTTGAGAATTAAGGCTCAAGAGTAGAATCCAGAACACTGTCACTTACTAGGAAAGAGTAGAAGAAACATCAAAGCATATTAAAAAGACAGGACCAAAGATATAGGGGAAAACTAGGGAAATGGGACATGGCTGAGGCCAAGGGATGAGAATATTTAAGAGAAAAATGCTTTAAAAGGTCAAGATAATACAGCCCAAGTAGTGTCTATTCACTTATTGTGGAGATACTAAAATGCACAGGAATCTAAGCCAGATTGTGGTGTGTTGAGGAAAGAGGAGGTGAGGAAGCACACAACTTACTCATGAAGACTGGCTTGAAGGAGAGGAAAGGAAGATGTTTGTATAATTTCAGTGTGATTGAAAGTGCCAATAAAGACAAGGTCGAGGCTGCTGGAGAGAGAGTGGAATAATAGATGGTGTGATACAGGAGGGAATTGATTCATTAGCCAATATTTTATGTAGCGCATAGTATGCCAAATACTTTTATGAGGGTTGAAAATAAGATTGATAAAATGAAATTCCAGCCTTGTGAATATCACATTCTAGTAGAGGTATACAGGCAAATACAATCCAAATAAGGTAATTGTAAATAGTAATAATTATTACACAGAAAATAAACATTGTACTTGTAACTGATTAGTAGGGAGGCTACTTTGGGCAGTCAGGCAATCTTGCCTATTTGATGAGTGACGTTAAACTGTGAGTCCCAAATGATAAGAGTTAGTAGGCAGCATTTCTCAAAGAAAATGCTCTACCTCTCCTCCCAGCAGAGCCTACATTTTCATAACAAATTTTCCTCAGAACTACCACAAACTCTTCCTGTTCTGAACTCCTTTTATGTAAATTTTTTGTACAGCATAATAATTTTTTGTTCGACAGTTATTTCAGTTGTCCTTCTCTCCCTCAGCCATAATGTAAGCTACTCTAGAATAAGGACTGCACTTCACTTTTTTTTTGCAGCCCTCATAGAGTATATATAATGCCAATTTGATTGGCCCTTAATACAATTTGATTTTCATCACTTAGAAACTAAAACATTGTCCTATCAATTCCTTGTATATTCTGGCTCCTACCCTATTCTTTCAAATCCATTCCTCCTCTGGTAGTGTTTTGGGGAGTGACACCTTTGATTAAAAAGGAACTTAATGTTTTAGGAACCAGTGACATTCAAAGATGTGGTTGTGGAATTCAGCAAGGAAGAGTGGGGGCAACTGGACTCTGCTGTAAAGAACCTGTACAGGGATGTGATGCTGGAAAACTTTAGGAACCTGAATTCATTGCGTAAAGGTGGTTTCTATATGTTTACTTAATCTGTCCATTTAGTAGTCTCTTCCTACTGCTAAAAGCTATAGGACTGCTGAAGTGGCTAAGTTCACTTTTGGGTCTGGGTTCAGGCTTGCTAATATCCTTTGGACACAGTAGCAGATTTTCTGACTCTTATCCGGTTGAAGTTCTTTCTGATACTGAGCCAGAGAAACACAAGTCCATGGTGCTCTTCTGGCCTTACCCTTCAGCAGCTTAGATTACTCTGTTAAGATAGAATTATCTTCCCTATAAAAATGCCTGAAGTGTTATATATGTTAGTTGTTGTTCTTTTTATTTTCTCCATGAATAGCACATCTACTTTCCAAACCAGTTGAGAGCCTTGAGTTGAAGAATAAGAAGAAAAGATGGATAACGGAGAAAGAAATGTCAAGGAAGACTATTTCTGGTAAGAACCAAGTAGATATGAGGCCATAATAAAAAGCCTCTCTTTCTTAAACATACAGATAATGTGCAACCTAATCTTTGAATTGTTAGTTGGGAAGGAGATAGCAAAACCTACACTTTGAGGGGAAAAATACATCATTGCCTTTTGTTCACAGGTTCTTTTTCTTATGCGGTAAAATAGTCACGTAAGGTTAAGGATAGGACCACAGACACTTAAAGCTGTATGACCTGAGAGAACCTTTGTGTCAGTTTCCTCATCTGTAACATAGAATAATAATAGTACCTACCTTTCGGTTACTGTGAGTGCTAAATGAGTTGGTGTGCCTAACACACTTAGAACAGTATGTGGTCTATGGTAAGTGCTACGTCAATGAATATTAGCCAACCTAACGTTGAATGTTATTCTGTATTTTAAAGAAAGTAAATCGACTTTATACTAGAGTGATTTCTAGTAATCTTCCATTTTTCCTTTTTTTTTTTTTTTTTTTTTTTTTTTTTTTTTTAACCTGGATCACTTGTTTTGTTTTCTGGAAACAGAGTTCTCACTGTGTTGCCCAGGCAGGCCTCAAACTCCTGAGCTCAAGTGATCCTCCCTCTTCAGCTTCTACCTGGAGAACTTCTTAACTTTTGCCTTAACTCCCTATTTTCATCATTTTTTTAATTCTTCATTCTTGTTAATACTTTATAAGAGAAACTTATTGTGAGATTAATATAAGTTCTAGTAAGTATAGAGAAATAAAACAAGGAATATAACTCACCCATTACTTCACACTCCAGAGCTACGTAGTATTAATTTTTTTTTAAGCCATTTTCTTTCTTTGTAATGTATCTCTGTGGTTTCTGAAGATTTCTTTTCTGAAATTGTGGAACGGTTTTCAAAATTTTTCCAAAAGTCATCAGGAATATGTCATTTTATATCCTGCTCTTTTCACCTAAAATGCCATCATGAGTGATTACCTATTTCACTAAATAATCTTTGAATATGTGGTTTCTAATTCCCATATAATATTCTATTATATCATAATATATTTAACCATCTCCCTGCCCCTCCACTGTAAGACTTTTAGGCTGTTGCCAATTTTTCAGGCATGTCTGATAACTTCCATAGGATACTCTATTAGAAGAGGAGCTTGACATTAAAGAGTATAAATGCATTTAGTTGTCTTGTTATGTTATGCCAAATTGTCTACAGAAAGGTTATACCAGTTTATACTCTCCCTAATAATAGAGTATTATTATCTCTTTATTATCATCCTAACAAACACTGGGTATTATTTACCTGAATTCTTTATTAATTTGAAAGGCAAATTACTCTTTTCTTCCTTTCTAAAATAAACACCCTCTGTCCCCAACCCTATTGTGCTTTGGACCTCACTTCTCCCTATCATTTCTCACTTACATTTTCACCATTTCTGTCTCATTTTTCCATCAGCTTTTTAACCTTTTTCTGGTCATTACCAATTTTTAAAAAATGTTTATTTTTGTTTTACTTTAGGTATATACTATATCCAGTATTTCTCCCCATGTTATCCCTCCCCACCCTCCCTACCACCCACTGTCCCTCCCCTAACCGCCTCCCACAAACTGCCCCCAGTGTGTGATGTTCCTCTCCCTGAGTCGACATGTTCTCATTGTTCAACACCCACCTATGAGTGAGAACATGCAGTGTTTGGTTTTCTGTTCTTGTGTCAGTTTGCTGAGAATGATGGCTTCCAGATTCATCCAGGTCCCTACAAAGGACACAAACTCATCATTTTTTATGGCTGCGTAGTGTTCCATGGTGTATATGTACCACATTTTCTTTGTCCAGTCTATCATTGATGGGCATTTGGGTTGGTTCCAGGTCTTTGCTATTGTACATAGGGCTGCAATGAATATACATGTGCATGTGTCTTAATAGTAGAATGATTTATAGTTCTTTGGCCATTTATCCAGTAATGGGATTGCTGGGTCAAATGGAATTTCTATTTCTAGATCCTTGAGAAATTGCCACACTCTCTTCCACAATGGCTGAACTAATTTACACTCCCACCAACTGTGTAGGAGTGTTCCTGTTTCTCCACATCCTCTCCAGCATCAGTTGTCTCCAGATTTTTTAATGATTGCCATTCTAACTGGCGTGAGGTGGTATCTCAATATGGTTTTGATTTGCATTTCTCTAATGACCAGTGATGATGAGCATTTTTTCATATGTTTGTTGGCCTCATATGTCTTCTTCTGAAAAGTGCCTGTTCATGTCCTTCACCCACTTTTGAATGGGATTGTTTGGTTTTTTCTTGTAAATCTGTTTTAGTTCTTTGTAGATTCTGGGTATTAGCCCTTTGTCAGATGGGTAGATTGCAAAAATGTTTTCCCATTCTGTTGGTTGCCAGTTTGCTCTAATGATGGTTTCTTTTGCTGTACAGAAGCTCTGAATTTTAATTAGATCCCATTTGTCTATCTTGGCTTTTGTTGTCATTGCTTTTGGTGTTTTAGTCACTAAGTCCTTGCCTGTGCCTATGTCCTGGATGGTTTTGCCTATGTGTTCTTCTAGTGTTTTTATGGTGTTAGGTTTTATGTTTAAATCTTTAATCCATCTGGAATTAATTTTAGTGTAAGGTGACAGGAAAGGGTCCAGTTTCTGCTTTCTGCACATTGCTAGCCAGTTTTCCCAACACTATTTATTAAACATGGAGTTCTTTCTCCATTGCTCGTTTTTGTGATGTTTGTCAAAGATCAGATTGTTGTAGATGTGTGGTGTTGCTTCTGGGGCCTCTGTTCTGTTCCATTGGTCTATGTCTCTGTTTTGGTTCCTGTACCATGCTGTTTTGATTACTGTAGCCTTGTAGTATAGTTTGAAGTCTGGCAGTGTGATGCTTCCAGTTTTGTTCTTTTTGCTTAGGATTGTCTTGGCTATGTGGGCTCTTTAGTGATTCCATATGAAGTTAAAAGTGGTTTTTTTCCAGTTCTGTGAAGAAGGTCATTGGTAGGTTGATGGGATACCATTGAATCTATAGATTGCTTTGAGCAGTATGGCCATTTTCATGATATTAATTCTTCCTAACCATGAGCGTGGACATTCTAATGTTTAAAAGTTTTCTTTCAACCCTATATCCTTTTCTAGGTATTACTGTCTTTCTTACCTCTTCTTTGTAGCCAAACTTCTCTAAGTATTTTATGCCTGGTTTTCTCATTTCCTCACCTCTTATTCTACATTCCAATTTAGCTCTTACCCTGACATTCATCTGAAACAGCTGTTGTTAAAGTCTTTAATGACTTCATGTAGCTAGTTCCAGTAGATATTTTGGAGAAATTCCTTATCTCACTTGAATTCTCAACAGCAAGTTATACTCTTAACTGTACTTCTTTCTTAAAATATTTTTAAATTCTTGTAATACTTCTGATTTTCTTCTTTGTTTGGCTATTCTATCTCTATCTTTTGCAGACTTAGCTTTCTCTAGCTTTCCAATAAATTTCAGAGTTTCTCAACATTTAATCTCATTTTTTTTTCTCTTCTTGCTCTTTTCTTCCCTAGTTCATTACAACCACAACTAAAACTTAAATTATTTTACATATATAGGGGATTTACAGATGTATATCCTTACCTCAGACTTTTTCTTTGAAGGTTTATATATGCCATGATATTTCTCTGGGATATCTTAAAGATGCCTTAAATTCCATGAAACCAAAGTCTGATATTTTTCCCCCTTTCTACTCTTCTGTTATTCCCCGAGTCAATGACACTGCCATTTACCTAGTTATACAAGATACACTTTAACTATTCTTGACATAACTTCTTCTCCTTCACCTCTCTAATGTTTGTTTCTATTTTACTTTTCTGTTACCTCGTGAATGCCTCCACTTTTTTCCATCTGCAGTGCTGCTATGCTAGTCCAGGTACCATCATCTCTCACCTGAACCACCACCTTGGCATACTTCTTAGCTCTGTTATTTTTACCCCAACTCCAATCTTTGAACCATACTGCAACCAAAGAGATAAGATTTTGTGATCTGCAATTTTTAAATACTATGTTGATTTCAGTATTGTTTATTTCACAACATTCTGTTTCCTGCCTATTTCTCCAATCTCATCTTGCACCACATCCTACCCTTACTTTTTGTACTCAGGCCACACCTATCTGCTTTCAGCAAATCAACATCAAATACATATTAAGCATCTATATACTGTGTCCTAAGCACTCTGACAGGTATTGGGGTGCAGCAGAGAAAAGATGATTCTAAGGGAACACATTCTGGTTGTCCCTTGAATGTGGCTTGCAGTCTCCCATCACAGGACCTCTGTACATGCTTTTTACATAGAATGCTCTTCTCCCTGTTCTTTACCTAATTGACTCTTATTCCTCAGATCCCAAGTAAGTCCACATTTCCATAAGGAAGTCTTTCCTGACTCCGTTTTTTTCTGTTGTACACTTGCACAGCACCTTATTCTCCTTTTACCAGTTGTCATAATTATATTTTACATGTATCTCTGTGAATGTTTGTCTCCCACACTAGGCTGTATGTTCCTTGAGGGTAGTCGTAATGTTTGTTTTTACCCTACCGTTACATCCCTAGCCCTTGGTGCATATAGGAATCAGAAAAAAAAAAGATGGATGAGTAGATATTAGATAAGAAAGGTAAGAATTATTTTTTTGGTTGTCATTTAGTAAATGGCTGTTTATGTCCTTTATTGATTAAAGCTGTAGGGGTTTTTAATTAATATATTAATGTCCTATATGAATTCTATGGATCACAGTATGGCAAATGAGATATCTCAGAGTTTTGTTTTTTACTTTTATTCATGGTGTATGCCACACATTTTTAAAATTTGTGTTAACTGTATATTTCCCCATTGTTTTATATCTCTTCATTTTATACATGGTTTTCCATCCTAAAGCTAGCAAACATTTTCTGATTATATCCCAATTTCATCCATCTCTTCATCTAAGCATAATAAATTAATCTGGAATTTACTTCAGTAAATGTAACTTATTTTGTCAAATAGTTAATGGATTGTAGTAGATTAAAGATGCCCACAAAATCTATGTCATAGTCTCCATCATGATGTAGACTTTGCCAGTGCAGGAAGATTTCTTGAAGCCAGGAATTCAAGACCAGACTGGGCACCATGGCAATTCTCCATCTCCACAAACAATAAGTTGTGCATGGTGGTGCATACCTATAATGGTAGCTGCTTGGAGGATTGCTTGAGTTCAGGAGTTGGAGGCTGCGGTGAGCTGTGGTTGCATCACTGCGTCCTATCCTGGGCAACAGAGCAAGACACTGTCTCTAAAAAAAAAAAAAAAAGAAAGAAAGAAAAGAAAGAAAGAAAAAAAGTCTGGGTGCGATGGCTCATGCCCTTTGAGAGGCCGATGGGCAGATCACAAGGTCAAGAGATTGAGACCAACCTGGCCAACATGGTGACAAAAATTAGCTGGACATGATGGCACACACCTGTAGTCCCAGCCACTTGGGAGGCTGAGGCAGGAGAATTGCTTGAACCTGGGAGGCAGAGGTTGCAGTGAGCCGAGATCGTGCCACTGCACTCCAGCCTAGCACCTGGCAACAGAGCGAGACTGTCTCAAAAAAAAAAAAAAAATTGAAGTTATATGAAAAAATGACTTGTACAGACATGAGTAAAAAAGATTTACTTGGGCAAATACAACTGGAAATTCTGCTATTACATAAATACTACTAGAATACTGGTTTTGGCCCTCTGTTGCTTTTAACAGATTACCGAAAACGTGACTTAAAAGAGCAATCATTTTATTAATTCTCAAATTTTGTGAGTTGACTACGAGTTCTTATGTTCTATATGATGTTAGCTGGTAATGCAGTGTTTCAGGGCTCAAATGGAATGGAATGTCCAAGATGGCACATCACATGGGTGGAATGCTGGCTGTTCCTCGGAACTTAACTGCTTTTTTTTTTTTTTTTTTTAATTGTGCCTTAAGTTCTGGGGTACGTGTGCAGATCTTGCAGGACTGTTGCATAGGTACACACATGCCATGGTGGTTTGCTGTCTCCATCCCCCCATCACCTATATCAGGCATTTCTGCCAGTGTTATCCCTCCCCATCTCCCTGCCCCTCACTGTCCCCGCCTAGACCCCCAACAGCCCCCAGTGTGTGATGCTCCCCTCCCTGTGTGCATGTGTTCTCATTGTTCAACACCCACCTATGAATGAGAACATGTGGTGTTTGGTTTCCTGTTCTTGTGTCAGTTTGCTGAGAATGATGGTTTCCAGATTCATCCATGTCCCTACAAGGGACATAATTAACTGTTCTTATGGACCAGAGCACCTACATGTGGCATTTCTTTGAGGCTTGGGCTTCTCACAGCAAGGTGGCTGGGTTCTAAGAGGCGACATCCTGAGAGAAATCACCTTAAAGGCTAGATCCAGAACAGTATCACTTCTGCCACATTATATTGGCTCAGCAATCACAGGATCAGCCCAGATTCAAGGAGAAGCAGAATAAACTCTATTTCTGTATGAAGAGCATGGCAAAGGATATGCATCCATTTTGATCTACCATAATCTGTCCTCTGGCTACAAAATATCTATGTTCTTCCCCCTTGCAAAATATATTTACTTTCTCCTAAGATCCCAAGAATCTTACCTATTATGGCATCAAGGTTGAAGTCTAGGATCTCATAATCTACATTAGGTCCAGGTTTGGAAGATATTTCTTTCTCTGAAGACTTATGAATTAAAGGGACAAGCTGTCTGCCCCCACACACCCAGTGTACACTGGTGAGACAGAGGCAGGAAATTTTATAAAACAATAGAACCAAAGCACATATTTGATTTGAGAGATGAAGGACAATGGTTATTCAAGTTTTTTTCTATGGTCTCCAGTATAAATATTAGAAAAGCATTGACTCAAACAAAAATGAAGACATTGAAGGAAGTTCTTTCACTATGGAAGATAACTTCAGTCTCTCATTTGTTTAGAGGACTATGATAGTCAAGTGGAGATGTCCTGGAGAGTGATGAAAACAAGGGACAGTAATATATGTGAGTGCAAAGCTGACATGATTTGGTCACCAATAAGTGTTGGAGAATAAAATTATTAGGCATACTTGAAGTTACAAAGAAAAAGAAGTCAGTGAGATTTAATTTTTTAAAAATCACTAGAATATATAGTATACTGAGTATATAGAAGCTAAGTGAGAGGAATTTTGAGAAAGGATGTGGAACATTATTAAATAAAACAAATGAGGACAGGTGAAAGGAAGAGAACCCAGTCTTAATCAGAACAGGTAAAGCTTTGAGTTCTAGGAAGTACATGTAGAAAAGTACCAAAGCACTAATGTTAGAATCAGGAGTTATTTTGAGGCCAGAACAAGGATTTCCCGCTACCTTATATTAGAGTTCTTTTTGTCTTTGTTATATGTAGGGAGTAGTGGCAGCTGTATGGAAAACAGGGGCACTATGATTGCAAGTTTGCTTTTAGCTTGTCAAGCTATGGTGCCTGGGAATACAGACACGTTCTTAAAATTATGATTAAATTGGTGTTTTATAGAAAGGGATATTTATTATTGGTAAACAGCTTGGGATAAACAAGATGCTAGAAGAAAAAATATTAGGCAGAGTCTTTACACACTAGTTAGTAACCAGTGATAACTTGAATTATGATGTGATATGCCATCCCATTCATTTAACAATATTTTACTTGAGCCCTATGATGTCTAATATTCCCGAATACCTCTCCTATTTTATTTACTAACCTCTTTTTAACTTTTTTGTACCATTTATTTTTTTATACATGTTTTTTCTAACCTTGCCTCGCATTTCCATTCTGTATTTAAGACCTGTGATATATGCATATACCTTATACAGTTCAACCTCCATTTCCTAATTAAGCAGTTTCCCTTATAGTTCATGGCAGTTTTTATTTCTCTTTAGACATGCAGAGTATTTCTGGAGAAGAAACATCCCACGGAATGATTATGACAAGCCTTACCAAAAGTGGACACTCTTCCTCAGATGTCTGGAAAGATGAGGATTGGTTATATAGGAACCAGAAAAAACAGGACATAGATTTGCCACAAGAATTTCCTGAAACAATCTATACTGAGGAGGAGGATTTTGAATGTAGTGAAAATAAGAAAAGCTTTGATGTTAATTCACTTAGCTCAATTTGTGCTATACAACAGGGAATTCCAAAATGTGAGGAATCTCCAAAATGTGATAAGTTGAAAACTCACTTCAAATTTAATTTAATCTCAGTAGGTAAGCAAAATTCAGAATATGATGAATATGGGAATGACTTCAGCCTGAGTACAGATATTCAACACCACAAAAGTCATACTACAATGAATTTCTATGAATGTTATCAATGTGGGAAAGCCTTCTGCCGAAGTTCATCCCTTATTCGACATCAGATCATTCACACAGGAGAGAAACCCTATAAATGCAGTGAATGTGGAAGATTCTTCAACCGACGTACAAATCTTACTAAGCATCAAAAACTTCACACTGAAGCAAAGGCCTGCACAAGCAATAAAAGTCGAAAGGCCTTCTGTAAAAGTGAAGACAGTAATAATCCAACAGTCCATTTTAGAAATAATTCCTATGAATGTATTAACTGTGGAAAATCCTTCAGTCGGAGCTCCTCTCTTATTCGACACCAAATAATTCATACAGGAGAGAAACCATTCAAATGTAAGGAATGTAATAAAGCCTTCAACAGGAGTTCAAACCTTGTTAAACATCAAAAACTGCATACTCAAGATAAGTCCTGAAAAAGAAAAAATGAAAAATTACCTTCAGTCAAAATGCAGAACTTATTCAACATCATGAATTTGTGCTGGATAAAATCTCATGAATATAATGTAAGAAAACATTTAAGGAATAATTAAAGATTATTCCTTAAATAATATGGCAGAATTAATAATGGATAGAAATATTATTGGATAGAAATCTGTTTGAAGGAGTTTCCTTGGCTTTCAGATGAAGCCATAAGGCTTTGGACTTAAACACAGTATCACCATACAAGTGTTTGTGTATCATTATTTTGATATCCATTGCCCTCACCGTTCCCTAGTTCATACATAGGGCTATAGCATACTAATATCCACCTGATTTATTGATGAAGCAGACATTAGGCAAAGCCAAGCAATACTCTTAAAGCTGATATTTAAGAAAACTCAGCCCTTAGAAGAAGGTCACAAGAAATCAGGAGCTCATGAGAATATAAGAGAACATGCTAAGGAGAGAAATCTTTGAATTAATGTCTAAGACCACAGTAACTCCACCCCTGACAATACCCTTTGCTGTCTTGGTGCTGAATGGAAACTAGAGTTGTGAGAGGGTTATCAATTGCAGTGGGAGAAGGTTGTATTGTTGTTAATCTATATGTATTCTTAAAATCTGCATTTTTTAAAAGTATAGCAGGTCTTTGAAAAATGTTTTTGTTTTGTTATAATGTTGTAATTATTATAATGTTGATGAGACAAATATCAATTCCCAGCCAGTGACACTGTCTGTGTGGAGTTTGCACACTCTCCCCGTGTTTCCAGGTGCTCCAGTTTCAAACTTCAAAGATGTACCCATTAGATTAATTGACATTTCTAAATTATCTCAGTCTGAGTTTGCATGTGAGGGAGAGTACCCTGCGGTAGAATGGCTTCTAGTCAGGGTTGGTTCCCATCATTGCCCTGAGCTGCTAGGATGTGCTCTGTCCACCCATGGTCCTGTACTGGAATAGTTGGGTAAATAATTATGTTACTTGTATTTGTTAATCCTTCTTAAATGTGTGTACAGCTCAGATTTATCTTTATGTCTAATACTGGAAGCATTTGGGTCTTTAGAAGTTTGGTGATGTTGTGACCAGACATTTGCCAGAGGAACTTAAATGATATACCATTTATCCCAGACATGAGCTTATTAAAGTGTCCTAATACTCTGTACACCAGAACTGTGTCTTCTGTAAACTACCTCAGGATCCCTTCTGGTTCTTGAGACAAGAATGACTTAATCTACCCCCAAAAATTCACACTGGAGACACTCCCAATTAATGATGATGGTAGCTTTTTGTGAAAATTCATACTTTATTCAAAGGCAGAAAAGGTATACTGGAGTGAACACCTATGATTCATTAAATAATGTCAAAAATTCTGTGTTTGTTCATACTTTATGTTGCAACGTAAGTTTTATTAGGACAAAGCCCTATATAAGTAATGGATATAAAAATTCATATAAACAAAAGGTAACTTGTAGAGGAGACTAACAAGAGAAAAGCACTTAGAATGTAAAAAATTCTTGAGGTATATAGTTCATTCATCAAAGTACATATGTTAAATACAATGGTTTCAGACTTTTTAATTTTAAGTATTCCACATCTAATATTTTACTTTTTTTAAAATACGCTGTGATTTTCTTTTGGATGGTTGAAAGAAGTACTATTTTCATTCTTTATCTTTTCTTTGAACAATTAGTTGTTTGAGCCTAAGTAAAATGCTTATTTTTTTCTCCTAAATCTCCAAGCTTTCTTTAAAAAGTGTTTACTATGTTCACGAAGTTTAACATAACATAGCTTCGATGATTTTTGGAGTGCATTTAAAGTTCTCATAGAGCATTTATAGCCAATTAACATATTCTCCCAGCCTTGTTCCACAAGCCTACTATTTATTTAGTACATTGTATTAGAGTTCTCTAGAGGGACAGAACCAATAGGATGATGTATATATAAAGGGGAGTTTATTAAGGAATATTGATTCACACGATCACAAGGTGAGGTCCCACAATAGGCTGTCTGCAACCTGAGGAGCAAGGAAGCCAGTCCATGTCCCAAAACTTTAAAAGTAGGGAAGCCAACAGTGCAGCCTTCAGTCTGTAGTTGAAGGTCCAAGAGTCCCAAAGCTGATGTTTGAGGGTAGGAAGCATCCAGCACAAGAGAAAAATGTAGGCCAGAAGACTACATCCTTGGAAGTCCAACTACTTCTTGAACTGGTTTCTGTACCCTATTAGGTTATCTACAGCAAGTGGAAGTGTATTTTTTTAAATTTGACCACTCATCTCACTTGGTAATGCTTGGTGTCTTCACCCTGTAACAAAATCTAAGTGGTTCTTACAGGTCCCCAGACCAGCATCATCAACATCTCTTGGGATTTGTTAGAAATACCAGTCCTTGGCCCCACAGCAGACCCAATCAGGCAGAAATTCTGGAAAATGGACAGTAATTTTTCTTGTAACAAGCGCTTTAATTCTGATGCAAGTTTGCAAACCTCTGATCTAAGCTTGGCCTCTGGGCCTAATCTTACCAATAATGCTGACTGTAAATTTCAGAAATGTTTCTAAAATTGGCCTTGCATCAGCTATCACCTATATTTTTCCTGGGTCTTACTGCATGTCTTAAGTCCTTGTTTCTGAAGGGCTCTTGTATTCCTAGTTTGACTTCAGAGAAAAATAATATATTCAGAAACTATCAATTGATGATGCCCTTCTCAAGCAAATTAACAGCTCTACCCATTTTCTTAGTGCCCTTTATTTCTAGTCTACTCACCTACCTTTCCTGGGCATGGTCTAATTTAAAGACTCTTAGCATGCATTTAATTAGTACATTCAATTGAAAAGACAAAAGGAACCAATCCTGTTCTATAAAGCTAGGCTGAATAGTCTTTGAACACAAGGATGCTTGTTGAATCACTTTTTAACTTTTCACAAATTGGTAGATAATAAGCTATACATGTTATGTGTATGGTTTTTTTCTTCAGAATTAAGGCAGCTATTTTTCTGTTATCAGAATCTAATTTCTATTCATATTGATATGATTCAGCTGTGTTTATTTCTGTGAACTGCCAAAATCAAACACATTTATCCAAGAGATAGTATTCAGGTAAAAAATAATAAAACTCCATAAGAGAGCAATTTACAGTATTGCACAAGTCTTTGACATTGGGATAGAATATAAAAAATGCCTCAAATAAGAGTAGATAGATTATAGAGAAAATATTTTAAGTGTTGAAGAAAAACATAATCAAAAAAGCAGTGTGACATGGTAGTTAAGCACTGTACTTCTAAAATATTTCTGAATTTCAGTTTCATCTCTGCCACTTTCTAGCTGTGTGAACTTTAGAAAGTTACCTGTTTTTTTATAAAATTGGATGATGATTACTGCCTACCTTATAAGGCTTTTTGAGGACTAAATGAGATAAAATATGTAAAGTTCCGAGCACACAAGTTCATAGTGGTAGCTTTTGATAAAGAACTTTAAAATGTACAAAAATAGGAAGATACGTACAATAGTAATTATAAAGGAAAACCCCCGAAAAAAATTTTGCTTAAAATATGATAGGGAATAAATTTCCATATTTTATCAAGTTTAATACAAAGTAATAAGAAAGTGAAGACCTGGACAGTTAAATGAGCAAAGATATTTTAATAGAGCTATTTTTCAAAACTAATGAAAAATTAGAATGTAGTCAAATGTATGCAAATTTTTAGTTTTGATAGTGATTTTCAGAACTGTCAAAGGATAATACCAATCTGCATTCCCACTACAGAATTTGAGTGTGACTGCTTCTGTTAATTCTTGCTACTTTATGAACTGTAAAATCTGAGCAAAACAGATGTTCATGTCTGACTCCCCACCTAAAAATGGAGATAATGCAAATTCTAAGGCTAGGAGTTTAAAATTACATATTGAATTTAAAATCATTCTTAAATTCAGGGTTATTTGTGGAGTATTACAACTGCCTCATTTCACAAGAAGATATTTCTTGAGACAGTATTTTTAGATGAAAATTAAAGCCCTGAACAATCTCTTTGTATTTAATAGTGTTGACCCGGGAACTATCACTATGTAGCAGTTGTGTACAAGTTTGAAATAAAGTTACCTTCCCCGATGAGAAGACAAGTCAAAGAAAAAATTACTTAAATTGTTTAACCTGTGTTTTCTATAGGGACATATAAAATGAGAACAATAAGCATCAAAACTGGCTTCAGTGACCCATGTCTTCACAAATACCATTTTCAAATATTTTCACTATCGTAAGGTGTCTGTCTAATCTGCTTTACAAGTCACATTAAGTATATAATGCTCAGTATATTTTATATTCAAATTTATATATTTTAAGATTTTATCAAATTATACAGACACATATATGACATGTGGTAGAGTGTACAGATATATTGTTTACATTTGAACTTAGGGTTGGGGCTCTATTCTGCAGTGGTTTGTTAGTTTCTTGGCTAGTCAGGTTTTATTGAGGAATAACACTGTGAAATTCACCCTTATTAGTGTAAATTTTATGAATTTTGGCAAACTCATATAGTCATGTAACTACCACCATAATCCGCATACAGAACAGTTCCACCATTACAGGAAATTCTCCTGTTCTTTTATAGTCAAGCTGTTTCCCCAACCCCTTGTCACCACTGATCTGGTCTTTCTATATATAATTTTGCTTTTTCCAGAATGTGATATGGATGAATTCATATAGTATATAGGTTTCTTAGTCTGATATCTTTCACTTCGCCTACCTAATTGAGACTCAAACATGTTATTGCATTTTATTTATTGCTGAGTAGCAATAAAATAAAATTATTAAAATATGGCTATATATATTCTGCATATATATGAACCATCTGAGTTATTCATATATTTGTTATTCACTTTAAATTTTGTTATTTAATCACATATATGTATATATGAATAACTCAAATGGTTATTCATTCACCAGATCAAAGACATTTGGCTTTTTGCCAGTTGGAGTTAAGTATAAAAAAATTACAAAATATATATAAGAGTTTGTGGTAAGATATATTTTCAGTTCTCTTTGTATATACCTAGGTGTAAGATTGTTGGGTCCTATGGTAAGTGCATGTTTATCTTGATGAGAAACTGTCAAACCATTTTACAAATTGACTGTATCACTTGGCATTCTGACCATAATGGATGAGAGTACCTGATATTCCACATAACAACAATGGATATTCCCAGTTTTGTTTTGTGTTAGCTATGGTGTACTAGAGTAAGTTCACACTGGCTTACAAGAAGTAAGTATTAAATTACCAGGAATTTTGTGAGCTATGTGAAATTGTGTTATAGCTTGGAATCAACCAGGATGGGAGAATTTACACCAGAGAAACTAGCAAAAGCTATTAATCAGGGCTTTTTTATGTTTTTTGGAGACCTAGCTAAACATTTACCATATCACTATGTTAGCAATTGTAATAAGTATCTAATAGTACCTCATTATCGCTTCAATTTGCATTTTCTGAATGACTAAATTATGTTTTCATGGGCTTATTTGTCTTACATATATATTTTTGATGAAATGTCTTTTTATGTAACAAACTATAGAAATGATCCCTGAAAGTATAGTCTTGAAATGTCTTTTTAAATCTTTTGCCTATTTTTAAATCTAGTTGTTTTCTTAAGTTTTGATAGTTTTTAAAATATATTCTAGATGGAAGTTCTTTATTGGATATGTATTTTGTGTAAATATTTTTGCACAGTGTATGGCTTGTCCTTTCATTTTTAACTGTCTTTCAAAAGGCAGAAGTTTATAATGTTGATAAAGTTCATTTTATCAATTATTTCTCTTACTGATTGTGCTTACACTGTCTTACCTAAAATATTTCTTCTGTTTCTTCTAGAAGTTTTAGGGGTTTAGGTTTTTCATTGAGGCTTACAATCCATTGTTAGTTAATATTCGTATATTATGTGAAGTATGGGTTAGGGTTTATTTGCTTATGGATATCCAGCAGTTTCAATACTCTTTGTAGAAGAATGTAGATCGAATTACCATTGAACATGTGTCAAAAATCAATGAACATTTATGTCAGTCCATTTCCAGAGTCTGTTTTACTTCACTGATCTTTGTGCCTATCCTTTCAGTAATAACTTAGTTTCTTGATTAATGAATATTTAGCTTTGAAATCAGATGATGTAAGCCTTCTTAGCTCTTTTTTTTTTTTCAAAATTTCTTTGGCTTTCTTTTTCCTTTGCAGTTCCATATAAATTTTTAGACTTAGCTTATTTCTACAGAATAATCATGATGTGTTTTTATTAGGGTTGTATTAAATCTAAAGATAACCATTTGTATATGTCTTTTAACACTGTTTTACATTCATTAGTGTGTGTTGAATGTATTCACTCACTGAAATA